ACATGTTCATCAAATGATTCAGTATGCGTTATTAATTCATGTTGTTCACCACAAGCAGTATGTTTACCATTGTTAGCAACACAAATGTGTAAAACAGGTACGAATACATATTATTTACATTTTAGGCTGCATCACACTCAACTAGAACAGTTCATTCTATTCATAGTTGTAGATTTATGATATAGTAATACACTTTCATATATCATTTAGTTGGTAGAATAAGAGATTATGATTTTATAATATGCTTTTATGTGTACATTTGTTGGGTAAACAACAAGATTTTATGAATGAACCGATTGGAATATGCAAATCCTTATTATAGATCATCTCTTTAGTGGTAGCAATTTATAGTTATGTTAAATATAGTTTAAGAGACATTGTTGACCAACAATATTAAACTTATTGTAAAATAGATGAATCAGTTTTGATAGAGAATCTAAGATTATCATTCTGTGATCAATAACTATATAATTAGTCATCAAATACTATATTTATCTTTAGATTCATCTTTTATTTTATATCTGAAATATTTGATCAGATATGAAGCATCAATGAGAATAAGATTGAAAAAGAAGTAGCAATGCTTTGGTAGTGAATTATCAAAAAGTTCCAGATTAATCACTTATTCTGTTACTAGTTTATATTCTTATATACAGAGAACTATAAAAGAGTTGATGGGAAGTTCGTGTATTTTATTCTATTGAATACCTTTCGATCAAAACTTGTTAACTTCGTTAAGAATCGAAAAACACATCAGTCAATATAATTATCACAGTGATTAGTTTGAGACAAACATTTTTTATATATTTAATTAGAATAACAGACAAAAATAGAAAATATACAAAACTGAGGATATCATAATAATATATGAAAGACTGTCATTTGTAGAATAATGAAAAATACTCTACAAGAATAATGAATGTTGTATAGTCTAAATATATAAGAATATAACTTCTAGGATGGTTCTATGCTAGCAGTATGAGCGTTGCACGATCTGGTCACACAGCATCTATATTATCAAATGGAAAAGTATTAGTTACTGGTGGATATGGTAATGGTTATTTAAATAGTGCTGAATTGTATGATCCATCGTCAGGTACTTGGACAACTACTGGTAACATGACTGATGCACGATATACTCATACAGCATCTGTATTATTAAATGGAAAAGTATTAGTTGCTGGTGGGGCTGATATAAATGGTAGTTTAAATAGTGCTGAATTGTATGATCCATCGTCAGGTACTTGGACAACTACTGGTAACATGAATAATGGACGAAAGGGCCACACAGCATCTGTATTATCCAATGGAAAAGTATTAGTTACTGGTGGAGAAGGCAATGGATATATTGA